CGATGATCTGAAGTGTTTGAAAACGTACACAATAATAGTTTAACCAACTTTAAAATACTGTACCACAAACACAAAATGTGCGTGACGATATTGTATTGCTTTAGAAATGTGCTTTCAAAAAGTATATTAGTCCATCGTATACGTAAGGGCTTGTATTGTTTTTTTTTAACTTGCAGCGTTTGGGAAATAGGTAGGCCTAATAGGTAAATTGTAATGAATATAATCAATAACTATAGCCTCTAAAACATAATATTATTGAAGGGTCCTTTTAAAGTTTGAATAGGATTTTTTTTAAATTAAATTTTTAGATCATCATACCTATTGAATGAGCCCCCAATAGCCCCGGGCCCCAGTGCTGTGCACTGACTGCACTGCCCATACCCACGCCACTGGACCTGAGTATTATTAATGGTTACATAACGTTTGCTATGCACTGTATCATGTGCTATAGAAGTGGAAGACCATAATGTATTGGGAATGTACCTCTGTCTCTGATAGGGCCTACAGTACAATCAGTTTAAAAGTGTAAGGTATAGGATAGTGTGGATTTATAAAACATTTTTCTATTGGTAATGTTCAAAATAAGTGTCAAGGAAAGTAAGTATGATTGTTGAAAAAAATGGTCAACATTTTATTTTGAATTCTCACCCTGGATCCGCGTCTAGTTAGCATGAATTTTGTAAGCCAGGACCCATAAGTGTTTTGTTACGTTTCTTCACAGAGGGGGAACGATTCCCCCCTCCCTGAACCCCCTGGATCCGCCACTGTGATTAGAATCAAATATAGAATTTAAGCTAACAAAAACAACACATCCAAAACAAGTCTGTTATATTAGGCCTGTATTGAAAAAAAAAATGTAAATTCAAAAATTCGGCCAAATATAGTTTGGCCGTGGCAAATTTTTATACGGCCAGATTTGAGGAATCTGGCCGTCAAAAAGGCCAAATGGCAACCCTGGTATAATTTTTAATATCCGGGAAATAAAGAGTCGGGAACTATAGAGGGCGTGCTCTGTATCTGATCGATCTCAAACCATGCGTGAAACCGAGTGGTGGAAAGTTTTGGAAACTTTATCGAAAACGCAACAACCCGGAAATCAACGTCAATCGGTCCGGAGACAATCTTCGTTCGTCAGGCAGGAAAGCAGGACTAATTTACTCAGGTGCGGGGACAGGTGGTGTTAAGCCTAGTAGAGAAAACGCAAGTGTTTTGTATTAGTTTTAGAGACATATTCTTTTTTTTTTTGTATACACATTTGTTAACTGAATAATTTGTATTTACTGTTAAAGATAGACAAATTTTAAACCCCATAACTTGGAGCGTCATTGTGCTTGCGATGATGGGTGTGGTCCCTGCGTCCGTCACGTCCTTGCTGTACTTAGCAGGCTCTTCCTTTATACAGTCAAGATCACAGTAGCTATGGCCCTAGGCCTAGTACTAGCTAGAGTACAGTACTAGGCCTAGTGGTACTAGTAGTAGTAGTAGTAGTAGTAGTCGTAGTAGTAGTAGTAGACACTTTACTACTACTAGGCCTATATACAGTAGCTAGGGCCTGGCGTATTAAAATACACCACTGCTTTTACGTTCTTTAAAATTCAAAGTTTTTTCCTCCTGAAAACGGTCAGGTAAATTCTTATTACAGTAAATAGACCTGTGTGCACAGGTTTACATACGTTGCATACGTATTCTGTTCTCCATGAATCAGTGAACCTCAAAAGGGGGTGGAGGGAGTGCGCGCGGTCGGGAATCTTCCCTGAGAAAATATTGGCTCCTAGATTGCGGGGAAAGAGCTTTCCCGACCAAAAAAAAAAGTCAGCTCAAGGATCCTGAAATAGTAGGTCTAATATTTTTTTTTTTTTTTTGCCCAAGGAATTGGTATCAGGACCCCCGACCTTACAGATCCACCAATGTGAATTATGAGAAAATGTAACTTGGTCGGGGATTTGATAAACCCTCCTTTTCTTCTCTCCTCCTCCTCTTTCTTTCTTTCATTTCTTTCCGACAATACAAAAATCTACATAGACATATATTTTCTGCCAAAAAGTGCAGGCCCCCATTTCTGCTGGCCATGATATAAACAATGTATTATGCACGACTGTAATTTACGATTCTGCCATGCTGTAAAGTTTCTTTTAGCTGTGCTGAGGATATGTAAAAATCGGCTCAAATTTGAGTTTAAAATAGCTATGAAATTAGGTGCACAGAATCGTGATTTACTTCATAATTAATTGCATTTGGTTATATAAAGATTTGGTCAAAACCTAATTCAACAAAACTTTCATGGAAATCGGCCCTTATTTTCCAAAATGCGCGGACAGATTTCTAGGCTAAATTTTTGCGCAGAGGATATGTTACTTCCTAGTGATTTTCTGCACAAATTTGAGCTGGTTGTGGGGGAATAATCATCAGTGAAGTGCAATTAATTACAGAATGGAACATATGCAGTAAAGGGTGAGGGACACATTTACCAAAGTATGTTTTGGTCATTTCAGATTTCAGTGGGTCAAACACATTCATATGAAACACCATTGAGTTTGAACATCTAAGATGTTTCACTTTAGTTTGGTAAGGCCTAGCCCTATTCGCAAAAACCAAATGCTATAAATAGTCATGGTGTGATTGATTCGGAAAAACCAAATGCTAAAAATGGATTACAGTTAATAAGCCTTTTTCACGCTGCAGTAGACATGTTCAGTCAATTGATGACAAACAATGCTAAGCAGCGAAGCGTAACCAACAGACAACATACTGTTTCGGCCATATTTTTCTAGGTCATGTTAATTAGAAAATCATAACTCCTGAACAGAGGGTCATAGCAACATAATTTTTTCTTTAAAATATTTGCCAAGGATATGTCTACGTATTGATGAATAAAAAAAAATTTTCAAATTGTTTAGTCTGTCAAAACTTAACTGAAAAATAGAAAGCCGATTTTGAAAGTGTGTGTGCCATTATAGCACTATTCGACCTCGGGCCTAGGTCATCTATATTTAAACTATGACCTAATATTAAAATTACCTAAAAATGTATGTTTTATATACCACTATTCATAGATTTTAATCATTTGATTGGTAAAAAACAGTTTCAGGTACGACAGTAATTTATGACATTTTCTACAATGAACTGTGTATACTATCATCAGAGTAGCTGTATTAACAGTTGCAATTATACCAGTAAAACTTCGAACTACTTTAGAAATTAAACACAATTTCCACATTAAAATATGAACAGCTGAACCTAGTACAATACGATTTAAAAAATAAACATCAAATATGAAAGAAGAATAAAAATGTGAAGAGACTTTTAAATATAGCAATGATTTGTGTAAGCGTATGAATATCCAGCTTTATAGATATTTTTTTCATCTTGTCCCCTCGAGGCTTAGCATAATATTCTTCATCGCTATGTACAAGTGAATTGGAAGCAGAGGGAAAAGCCCAATGTTTATTGACCGGCTAGGCAGCAGTGACGCCATAAATTTGCCGACAAGGACACCGTCTTGACACACAAGACGGAGGGGTCTGTACCCAGGTGCCGACAACCATTCCCTGGTAGGGTTCATGGGGGAGAGTTCATTCAGTTTATGATGGACAAAAATGTTCTTTTCGACAACAATATTGGAGGTTGGCAGTCAAAATAACGTTATTTAGATAGACAGATTATTATTTTTAATTTTTAAAATTTTTGATCCAACAGCCTAGTCTTGCATCTGACAACAGGGGGATCAAGGTCTGTCCAACGGGCATATGGGAAAATTCCCCCTGCCATGGCGCCGCTACTGCGGCAAGGAGGGCATGGCTAGAGCTATTGCTGGCTTTTAACCAATGAAATGTCTATGATCTACAGTTATGTGATCGGTATGTTATATAATAATATGCACTTCTTGCTACATAATACATTTATTTTATTTGAAATCCTGTAATTGATTTTATAGGAATATATATTCAACTAAAGGATGAGCTAAAATGTGATGCTACAATTCATACAAGGCTTGTGGAGGTTGGATACTGAGGCAGAGTTGGGGGGGGGGGGGGGGGGTGGTGGGAAGATGAAATCTATCAGCTAAGTCACCTAGAGGTAAGTAATATTTTAGAACATATTCACCTACTAAGAGTGATGGGAAATTTAAGGTGTCATAATCTGGAATATGTCAGTGAAATTTTTCAGTGAAATTTCTGCCTGACATTAATTACTATGGGTACTGGATAAGTGGCAATTTGATGCAGTGGTTTAGGTGCAAGCTTCCGCTTTTAAGGTCAGGGTTTCAACTCTCCGCTGTGCAGATTCACTTGTGTCCATGTGCAAGGCACTTTAACTACAATTCTTCAGTCCACCCAGCTGTATCAATGGTGGTTAACCTGCAACGTACAGTACTAGAGAACAACTTTCATCTGCTTCACACTACAGAAACTGGGAATAATCTCCAGCCTTATGAGCCTTACTGTAATAGATCATGATTTAGTTTAGTTTTACTGGGTATAGATAACCAGGTATCCTTTCATAGTCCAAAGCTTGGGTACACACTACACCCACAGTCATTGGCCGACGCAGTCCCATAGACAACGTGTGCACTACAGAAAGTTTTTATGACAATCCGCTTAGACTGCCACTGACTATCACTGACTATCAGCAGATGAGAAGTGCTCACGGAGTAATAACCTGCACAATTATCATAGAACACAGTGTGTACTCTCTGCAAGTCTTGGAATATGCCTATAGTATTTGTGGTGATTGTAAAAAGATCACAACCAAACTAGTATCTGTAAACACAAGGTTCACATCGACTAGAATATTTAATATTAAGTCAGTTATTTGGAAATTTACATTTTTACATAATTTTCCCATGATCTACCTCTAGGTCCCTCTGCATGCCTATTTCACAGTTAAAATTAATGCGAAATGAAAAGAAATAATAATATTATATTATTAAATCTATTTTAGTGTGAAAGTTTGTGAAGCTTAACATTTGGAGTAATAGTGTGCTGTGTAGTCCATTGCTGTGAAAAGTAGAACATTCAAGAAAGATGAAGGATTCAGGTAAAATATTGATAATTCTTGGCAATATATTATAGGCCTTCAATTAAACAAACCAAATCATCACAAACTGATGATAAAGTGTATCATTATCATCACACTAAAAACAGTAGCAGTCGTACAGAGCCTGCAACCTCTACATCAAAGATATGTGAAAGCCGCAGGAAACTAAAAATATAAACAAAATTGTTCAACAAAAGTAAAATGCATAATTCCAAGCCATGCATGCATTCAAAATAATTTGCATTCTACATGTATTCCAATTACTGCTTAAATAATACAACCATTTGCAAGATAGATGTATTCCTGATTAATAATAAAGATTTTCAGTTATTTTAAAGTAAATTATGTAGTAAGAAGACTGAATGTTTTTCTATACATCTTGCTCAGTATACGTGAATCTTGAATCATTTTATTTTGAGAATATCTCATATTTTACCTTTTTAAATTGTTTGCATGTGAAAATTTGCACATGAATTTGATAACATGCAATATAATAATCAAATGCTGAAGGATAAATTATTAACAATACACTGTCTTGTTATTTTCTACTATGGTATTGCTATCATTTGCCCACAGACTTCTTGTCGATGTTGGTGCAACTCTCTGAGGCAATCAGCAAGGAAGGTGAAAAGTATGTAGACCTGTTAAGGGTTCTGTACAGAGATCTTGCAAATGTTAAATTAGATTTGGAGAATGCTAAGTGTGCATTTGATTTATTTCAATTGCTAATAGCACCTGGCATTTTGAAGCCAACACACATTTCAGTTTTGTTTGAAACAATTGAACTAACTGGATTGAAATATTTGATAGAGATAATCAAGAGATATGAGACATATCCTGATGAAGTGAAGATCACTCGATTTACACCACATCGTCAACAGGTTGTTGCTCTGGGAAAAGACTTTTCAGTTAAAGATCTCCAGAAGGTTAGTCAGTTGTACGAAGGCAATTTTTCTAGTCCATGGAAACTGATTCAACATCTTGAAGATACATCTGTTTTAACCGAAAATAGTATGTCTTCATTTCTTCAACGTTTGAATGAGAATAAAGTAAAGAAATGTACAGGTTAGTAATAAATTTAGAATATCACATTTATTCATGCCTTTTGGACATAGTATTATTAAGTAGGTCTACTTTTGTATTGAGGTAGTTCTTTAGTACTGTCGTTTACAATATGTATTTCCAATTTAATTAATAAATTCAATGAGATTCACTGTAGTAGTCATGAACTGCAGTAATGAGAATATGCAATTCCAGAATGCCAATCACTGTAAAATCAAAGTGATAAATGAGTATAGAAAAATATAACAGAAAAAAAACAATTATATATTTCTTTAAAATTGATATAGGCCTTATAGAACCTCGATTAGATACAGTTACATATCCACTTTCATGAGTGATCATTAGGGCCAAGAAAATGAATTGTTTGTTTGCCCTTCTTGTTTTTTTAAATAATAAAAAGGGGATGGTGCAAGAAGTTTTGGTTTTTTTAAGATACTCATAGATGGAATAAAAATAACACACAGAGGCCTAGAATGGCAATATATTACATCAGACAACAACTTAGGGCATCTGACAAAAAATAGAGATAAATTCACTCACATTTTTTTAATTTGTAAAGAAAGAACTTTAAAAAAACCTTTTTTTTTGTTTTTCCACCCCTTTCAGTGAGTTAGCAGCGGGTGGAAGAGGGCAAACAAACAATTTTTTATTTTGGCCTTTTTCATGTCCTAAATGTTTATAGGTTATGTATGTATATATGTTACGTATCACATGCAACTTAAGATTATGACTGTTACCTACCTATGAGGTATTCTCATATTCAAAATCTTTACCTACTAAAATGTATTTTTTTCTTTACCTACCTAATATTTTCATTCTTTAACAACTGTTATTTTTCTTGCTATCCACAATGTATACATGGCCAATAATTAATTTCATTAAATGAATAATATTAAATGAATAATACTTTATATTAATTTTGTTAAATAAATAATATTTGATTTATGAAATTTATATTTTTATGTCCTTGTCCGGACCCTTTAACGTCACTATTGGATAGGCTTATATTCATATTAGGCTTCTGTGAATGGATACCTTGTTCAAAGCAAGAAATCAAGTTGTCTTTACCTATTGCTGCTCGTATATTTTATTCGTGTGGGAAATTTTTAACCTATATTCCTAGGATGTTTTAATCTATAGATATACTTTCCCAACAAGTCTAGCTGATTTTTTTAAAAATTACTACAAATTTTATCAATATAGATTTTAGAATTCATCAATGTTATAAAAAGATATTTTGAATGTAAGTGTCTCTGACTAGCTGGGATCAAGAGAATTATGGGAATTTATTTTAATCTCTATAATTATTTTCTTGAAATAGATTTTAATCAGCTACTTGTCAGAATATCCAATGCAATCAGCAAGGAAGGTGAAAAGTATGTAGACATGTTGAGGGTTCTGTACAGAGATCTTGCAGAGTTCAAAGTAGACTTGGAGGAAGCTAAATCTGCATTTGATTTATTCCAAATACTAAGAGTTGGTAATGTTTTGAAAGCAACAGACATTTCAGTTTTATTTGAAACGATTGAAGTAACTGGATTAAGGTATTTGGAGGAGATAGTTAAGGTGTACGAGACATATCCAGCTGAAGTGAAGATCACTCAATTTTCAGCACATCGTCAACATCTTGTTGCTCTTGGAAAAGACTTTTCTAGCAGTGATGTTCAAGATATTAGTCGGTTGTACAAAGTTCCAGATGATTTCTGTTCTAATCCATGGAAACTAATCACATTTCTTGAAAGTGAGGGTATTGTTTCAGAAGATAAACTGCCATTGTTTCTCACGAATTTGAAAGGAGTTGGTGAGTATGACAATTATTTAATGATTTTATTTACAGTACCAAATTACCAATACTGTAATCTATTAAATTAAATTAGGTTACCACTGTTGGAGCCTGAGAGGTACTGTTAATTGATAGAAACTTAAGTTCTTGATATTGTCTCTCATTTCTTATAATTAGCAACAGATACACATTTAGAGAACTCAACTACAGTACTGTAAACTGATGATGTCTAAACATTGAATACCAAAAATGCATCACTGAAGCATTTTATTAAGGATTTAAACACATTCCTTGCGTCACAATAATTATTTTCAATAATTATTGTGACACTAGCTTTAGTCTCTGAAACAATAGTTAATTTTTAACAAATAAATATTTGGGAAAGAAATACAAAAACACTAAAATTAAGTTAACACTTTAATTAAAATAACAGTTTATTATTATTGTAAATAATACCAAAAATGCATCACTGATTTTTAAACACTCATCACAATAATTATTTTCAATATAATTCTATTTGATTTAGTCTCTGAAACAATAGATAATTTTTAGCAAATAGCTGTAATAAAAAAAGAAATTCACAAACATAGCAAAATATATGTTAACTTGTCAATTAAAATAAAGTTTTATTATAGTAAATGATGTAAATTCAACTAGTTAAACCGGTATTTTAATTAAGGTGCCAAATATTAATATTAAATAAGGTATACTCAACTGCATCAGGAAATCACTTTTATTGATGCACCTGAATCCTGTCGTGTCTTTTCTTAGTGGGGGGGGGGGCTGTTACTTCAAGTAACAGCACACAATTTCCTGTGTTTTTATTACTATTTCATAAACTTCTTTACGGTGCCCGGTTTCTTATTTTTTGCTAGTATAATTATCTAGTCCCAAAGTATAGAATTTAGGTGCGTACGTTTATCAGTTCATATGTACAAAAAAAACATCAGTAGTGTTTGGAACCTATAGCTATAGCCTGGGTTCCAGGCCCTAATTTTAGTTTACTCACTCTTTATTGCACTTAGTGCGTGCCATACCTAATTTAATTGGCGTCCCATACTCGATTTCTTTTTTTTTTTAAATTATGGCCTGGGCAAACGATTCATGCGTACGATTTCCCACATCAAATTTGATGTGGGATATCGTATGCATGACTGATTTTGTAAATCACGTGATTGGCTAACTTCATGCATATTAATCAATCTTGGTAAATTTTCAAAATTGAAGATGCGGATGTCTCGACTAGAACAAGCTAACCAGCTCCCTTTTGGCTACCTATACTTGAATAGGCCTTTTTCACGAATCGGTAGACATCATGAAGTGATGACAAACATTGCGAATCAGCGGTGCGTAACCAACAGAAATAAGATAAGCTTTTGGGCTGATATTCTGACATCATGTTATTTAAAAAATCATAACCCCATAACGGAGCGCCGTATCCAAAAAATGTTTCCAGCAAAATTTTCTTAAAATACTATTCTACACCACTATATGATTGAAAAAAAAAATTTTTGACTTCTGAAATCAAGATTTAAAAAGAAAAGCCTATCTCAGTAGTGTATTAAAATAGGTATATGCTGCAGTAGTACTAGTAATACTCTGAACCATTGTTTTAGAAAAATACCATATGAGAGTTTCCTGTGTTAAAAACATGATTGACTATGCTATACCTCTTTATAAAACATAACTTGTACTTTATAATAAGAGAAATCTGTATATTATCGCTACTTGGAACAACTGGTAACAACACGAAAGTCCTATGCTACTGCACCGTAATGCATAGGCCTATTTTAATACACTACTAAGATAGGCTTTTATTTTTCAATCTTGATTTCAGAGGTCAAAAACTTTATTCAATTTTTTTTTCAATCATATACTGGTATAGACTAGTCTTTTAAGAACATTTTGCTGGAAAAATTTTTTGGATACGACGCTCCGTTATGGAGTTATGATTTTTTAAATAACGTGATGTCAGAAAATCAGCCCAAAAGCTTATCTTATTTCTGTTGGTTACGCACCGCTGATTTGCAATGTTTGTCATCACTTCAATATGTCTACCGATTCGTGAAAAAGGCCTATTAAAACAGTTAGTATATAGTTCTGGCCTGCTGAGAACGACATGGACTGATAACCGTAGGCTATACTTAGACGAATATAAGATTTATTTTGTTTTGGTCTTTGAATTATATTTCTACAGTAGGTTAAGTAAAACCATTTTAAAGCTGAGATGTCTAAAGATATCCTAACAAAACAAAAAACAAAAAACAAAAAATTATTCAAATAGTTTTATCTGGTTGGTTATGACAGTAGAACTGTTTCATTAGTAATAAACTAGGTACGATTTGATATAAACTTAACTGCGACTTGCGAGCTTTTGTTATGTAGACGTTCTAAACCAATTTTTTGTGAAGACGTGTGCCAGCTGCATAGCTACATCTAAGCTCAGCGACAGGCCATTGTAATGCATAGAATTAGGACAATTCCAGACGAGTTCAGTGTGTTATTACTATCCTTGTACAGGTATTAGTATAATATTGAACTGCATAGGTACAGAAGGCAAATATTGTAACAGACCTAGATGAAGAAGATACTAAACCATTTTTAAGCGGAGATGTCTAAAAACATCAGCTCTGAAGATAAAAACAATAACTTATAAATTTTGTGTTGGTTTTCCTATTAAATCTGAAAAATAGCTTTTCAAAATATGCCTCAAAACCATTTCCTTAAGAAATCAATTCAGAACTTTTGCTACTATTAAATATACAGTACTGTACTGTACTGTTTAACAATTTTAAAAATTCAAATTTTGTCAAATATACCACAAGACCCTTTTTGTAAACAACACCTCACATATTCTTTACATAAATGTTAAGGTGGTGGAGTGGGAAAATTAAGCTATGGTCTACTGCAGCTATGCTGCTAATGCACATAATTATTGTCGATTTCAATTTCCTCAATAGGGTTTGGAGAAGCATCAATATCGAAACAACCAAAGTTAGACAAAGGTATGCACTGGGTGCTGAATAATTGTTATTTTTAGTCAGTATCTGTAATGATGTAACTGTATAATCAATGAATGGATATTAGTCAGTATAATTCATCTGATAATATGTATTTGGGATTTACTCAATTAATTTTGAGTTACTCCAAATAGTGTTTTATAATGTATGTTATTTACAAAAAGTATTTCCAGAATATCAATCAAATTAACATATTGCAACTACATGTTTAAATCATTAAAATTTTACAATATTTCATCATCAGTTGCATCATGAAAGTTAAGAGGAAGGAAGTGGACAGCGGGGCCTAAAACATCAGGTGTCTGTTAGCATATTTCTAATTAAAAGAAAATTGTGTCCCCAGTCAACTCTGGGAATTCTTAATATAGGTGATCCAACAAAATTTGCAATTCAAAAATACCCAGATCAGATCACAAGTGGGCTTCCTCTTCTCCCATATCCATCTCTGGACCTCTGACTAGGGCCAAGTATACCCTAGCCTACTATAGCACAAGGTTGCTCAGTTTGCTTAGATTTACAACAGGCTTGTATTAGGGCTAACATTTTCCTCCTAGCCTAGAACCCTGACTTATGCATGATGTTAATGTTCTTGGTGCTGCCATCAACACCCCCTTCCCTTGCTTTTTCTCTCACACCTCTGGCATTATCCACGTCCCCCCGCCCCCATTGCTAAATCCTAGGATACACAACCTACTCTTGCCTGAAGCTGCATTGGTCCAGTATTTGAATGTACATGGAACACTACTATGAGTTTAAGCTGCTGTATGTGGTTTAAAAAGAAATTTAAAATCAAACTAAATATTTATTGTATTGACATTAATGATGAGAGTAATGATAAAGCTTAGGGAGGTGGTAATGAAAAAGAAAGAACAAGTAAATAATTAGAGCTACAAAATTATTTTTGCAATCATTATGAAAATGATAATACTAGGAATAGGTTCAGAGAGGGACAGTTAAAGGAGGGTTTACACTACCTTAGCCCCATCATGGTTGGGGGCAGAGACACAACATTTTATGGCACATATAGTTAGCCTGAAATGGCAATCTCAGACTTTAATTTTAATAAATATTTTTTTTCCTTAACTTTTTAATTTAAAAAGAATAGAGACCTCAGGTAGGATTCCCTCACCCCACCCTCTTTCCCAATTGAATAACTTGTTCGTTTATTCATCTAGATGAAAATTCTGGATTTGTATCAGAAAATGGTATTGAAGTCATTGAACTGAATGATGTAAGGTAGAAGTGTAACAGGAACTTAATTATATAAATAATAGCTATCGGTTAATTTCCCATTGATTTATAATCAGGCGGTACTGGGGTGGGACAACTTGATTTCCTGCTCCACAACAAGTCATCCATTCATAGGAACCTTTCTGAAGAAAGCCTACCTAAAATGGTTTAGATTGGCAAAGAGACCAGCTAACTCTGGCTTTGAATATAGGAAGATTGAAACATTAATAGAGTATACAATGTATGCAGTGTTCCTTTAAAGTGTAAATTAAGTATATGTTAGTAATAATAATGTAGGTCATATTATTGTTATTATTTGTTTTGAACTATTTCAGATATAATTATCAAAGGTATTTGTTTTGAACTATTTCAGATATAATTATCAAAGGTTCCCTGATGACAAGGCAGAAAGAAGTATATCAAAATGTGAATAGAATGACACCAGCAATCTGGCATAAATTTCATGAATTAGATATTGCAGATGTTTTTACTGAACTCATCTTACTGCAATCTAAAAAAGAAGACAAAGGAAAACAAGACAAGTCAACATGTACAAAAAAAGAAGGCAGACCCACATCATTAACAGAGGCATTAGAGGTTATTAAGTCAACAGATTCTTGTAAGGTATTAATAACAGGGGAGGGGGGAATGGGTAAGACTACCCTCCTTAAATATATTGCTCATCAGTGGGCTACTGATGATGAACATATCCTTGCTGATAAATTACTGTTTCTGATAAATATCAGGGAAATTAAAGAAAGTAAATCATTCTTGGAGATAATTATGAATGAAATTAATTCAAAAGAATTAATTTATAGGAACAATTTGTCATGTGACTCATTTGACCTAGTTGAAAGGTTCTTGGTCACACATGACAATGAAATAATATTTTTGTTAGATGGATATGATGAGTTAGAAAGAAATGCTAAAGACCCAATTGATCTATTTAAAAAAAGAGAATTGCGAAAAAGCATGGTAGTGATAACATCTCGACCCGACAACACAGCTGATTTGATTAAATACTGTGATGTACACATTGAAGTGAAGGGATTCAGTCAAAGTAACATAAAGAAGTATATTCAAAATTATTTTCATTCAATCAGTGAAATAGAAATTGGTAATTCTTTAATAAAAGAGTTTGGACTTGATTCAGAGAGTAAATGGTATTGGGGTGGTAATCACAAAGAAGCATTTGAATTGTGCTCCTCTCCACTGTTATTGCTTCATATTTGTACCATATGGGAAGAAAAACGTGTTCTTCCCACATACTTGACCGATCTTTTTAAGGAACTCATTTGTTGTATTTTAAATCAGTATCTAAACAGGGCTGGCATAAAATCGGTAATTGCCAATTTTGAGAGAATTCCAGATCAATACATATCTGCCATTTTAATTTTAGGAGAGTGTATGTATATAGGACTAAAGGAAAATACACTGTCTATTGACAAATTTGTTTTGTCAAATATGGCAAAGGATAAAGAATTATTAAATTTAGCACTGGCACTTGGGTTTGTTTATAATGATACCCCTGCTAATCCAGGGAAAGTAAAGGAGATGTACACACCCCCACATAAATTAATTTCAGAGGCACTAGCAGGGCTGTACCTGTCTACAGAAATTCAGAAAGTGAGTTTAAAGGTTGAGTATGAGGAAATCAGATGTAATGCTTATTTGAATATGACGAGGGTGTTTGCAATAGGATTTTTAGGTGCTGATGCTGATAAGTTGCTGAAACCATGGTTAATAATCAGGGCCTCAAATTATCGCTCAATAGTACAATGTTTAGGACATGTAAAGAAAGAGCATGAAGATAATATTCTAGAGAAATTGGATAAGCACATGTCCAACGATATGAAAGCACATAGTGAGCAAATGTTGGAGTCATTTAGAAGTCTTATAAATGATGGCATAGGCATATCAAGTATGCATTTATTCAAACTCATGAAAAGATGTAGCATTGAATATGATCCTTACAGTCTTGAAGCAGCAGCAGTATCTTTGATAAAAATGTGCAGGGAAAGGCGGTGCCAACTTGTTGCACATACCTTAGTGTTATTACAAGTAATAGATCAGCAACATAAACCAGACTATCTACTTAAATATATTTTAAAATGGGAAAATGAAGAATGCAATTTACTTTCAGCTGAGATGAAAAAAAATCATTTTAAATATAATTTGACTTCCATTGGGTTTCATTTTCCACTGAGTTCAGCATTCTTAATTCATTTCCTTAAATATGCAAGTAACTTAGATAGCTTGGAATTATCTAGTTACAATATCCAATATGCTAGTCACACATTGGTCACAGGTACTATACTCAATGCAGTTATTAATGATTTGGACAATGACAATATAAAGTTAGAATTAGACACATTTAATATTAGTGGCAATGATCTAAATGATATTGATGGAACATTACTGGGAAAATTATTTAAAATAGCTCCTAAATTAAAATATCTAGAGTTAAGCAAGTGTAGGCTATCAGGTGGTACTTTAATGGCAATGATCACAGAATGCCAGTACAGTGAAGATACAGTATGCAATAGTCACAAGTTGGTCACAGGTGCTATACACAATGCAGTTATTAATGATTTGGACAATGCCAATATAAAGTTAGAATTAGAAACACTTGATATTAGTGGCAATGATCTAAATGATATTGATGGAACATTACTGGGAAAATTATTTAAAATAGCTCCTAAATTAAAACTTCTAAATGTAACGGAGTGTAGGCTATCAGGTGGTACTTTGAGGTCAATGATCACAGAATGCCAGAACAGTGAAGATACACTAGACCATGTTTTGAAACACTACAGGCTTGTACTAAAGGGCAATAACCTTTCAGATATTGATGGTACATCAGTTGCTGATTTAGTCAGGGTAAATTGTCTTTATAGATGTTATAATTATTATGATGGTGGTGGTGATGATGATGATGGTAAGGCTACAATTTTCATTCTGAGTGATTATTCTCTTACTTTTGATAACATAGAAAAGCTTGTTGAATCAGTAGGTGAAAATATAACAATAGATTGGTATACGATAAATATGAGTAGGATTAACCTGTCTTCAGTAAGTGGAATAACATTAGCTCGCCTATTTAAAATCTGCCCAGAGCTGAATGATATTGACATGAGTAACTGCAGTTTATCATGCAGGATTGTTAATGAAATGATGGAAGAATGTTGTAGGATGAATGTAGTATTGAAAGACAAAATGCTTATTCTGACGGGCAATGACTTTTCAGATATTGATGGTAAATCACTTGCAGAGTTAGTCAGGGTAGTTACTTGTAAAGTTGTAAGGTTAAGCAGATTTGATCATAGAAGTAAGATTGTATTCAAATGGAGTGATTATTCTCTTACAGCTGATAATCTAGAAAAGCTAGTAGAATCAGTAGGTGAAAATATAACATTGAATTGGCAAGTGACAAAATTGAGTACGGTTAACCTATCTTCCATCAGTGGAAAAACATTAGCCTGCCTTATTAAGATCTCTCCAAACCTGATCCATATTGACATGAGTTTCTGCAGTTTATCAAGCAGGATAGTTAATGAAATGATGGAAGAATGTTGTAGGATGAATGTAGTATTGAAAGACAACATGCTTAGTCTAAAGGGCAATGACCTTTCAGATATTGATGGCACATTACTTGCAGAGTTAGTCAGGGTAGTTAGAAAGTCTTGTGAAGTTTTAAAGTTAAGCAGATTCCATCATATTAATATGAATGTATTCGAATGGAGAGATTATTCTCTTACAGCTGATAACCTAGAAAAGCTAGTAGAATCAGTAGGTGAAAATATAACATTGAATTGGCAAGTGATAAAATTGAGTAAGATTAACCTATCTTCAATCAGTGGAAAAACATTAGCCTGCCTTGTTAAGATCTCTCCAAACCTGATCCGTATTGACATGAGTAACTGCAGTTTATCAGGCAGGATTGTTAATGAAATGATGGAAGAATGTTGTAGGATGAATGTAGTATTGAAAGACTACATGCTAAGTCTAAAGGGCAATGACCTTTCAGATATTGATGGCACATCACTTGCAGAGTTAGTCAGGGTAATTTGTCAATTTGATTTGGATTATTATTATGATTATAAGAGTGGCATTTTCAGTTGGAGTGATTATTTTCTTACAGCTGGTAACCTAGAAATGCTGGTTGAATCTGTAGGTGAAAATATAACATTGAATTGGGAAGTGATAAATTTGAGTAGGATTAACCTGTCTTCCATCAGTGGAAAAACATTAGCTCGTCTGTTTAAGATCTCTCCAGACCTGGACAATATTGACATGAGTTACTGCAGTTTATCAGGCAGGATAGTTAATGAAATGATGGAAGAATGTTGTAGGATGAATGTAGTATTGAAAGACAACATG